ATGCACTACACTACCAGACGTGTCGCAAGGAAGCTTAGAGCCTACTTGCCCCTACTTGGGCGGTGACCCGCTGATAGGAGATACCTGGATGAGGAATACCCCACTCGCCGATGTGCATATCGGTGCCGAAACTCACTATTCACCAGGGGAATATCGACGCCACCTACAGAGGAAAAACATGTACTTCACTTACAGCAGAAATGACCTTAGCAGTTAACCGCCCGAAAACACGAAATAATCAACCAACCCACACTGAGCAAATTTTTAGCTGTGCACGTCCATTTTATCTCTCGTTAGTTCAATTCAAAACGAATTTATAAGACTTCATTCTCTCGTCAACAAATATAAACATCTCTTTATCTAATTCCATAGTTCCGTGATAAATAATACGAGAAGGAAAGTTGACGATTTCATACAATTTGTACGAATTCATAGACAAAAATCCTATAAGTATTCTATTCTTGAACTCGAAATTAGTATTCCCAGTTCTGCATCATATCTAAGATAAATAAGGGGAGTCCAAATTGTTCGGGAGTTATAGTCTGCTGCGAAATGCTACTGCTGCTTCTACTTCTGCTGCTATTAATTAGTCGGACTATACCAATACATAGTTTCTCGCATTCTTTCTAACTTTTGCGAAAGTGTTTGCGAAGATTTCAATGAACATGCGATCGCACCACTCTGTTAAGCGTGTTGTTTATCCAAAGAAAAAAATCAATAAAAAAATTTGAGCGATTTTTCAGAAATTTTTTTAATTGCATTACATTCAAGCACAAATTATACAAAACTACTCGATTTTTGAAAGCAATGTTCCCAACATTTTTAAAAGATCTGATATTTTAGAACAAGTCCCTTAATAGAAAAAACTTTGTATCTTACGTTTGCAATGTTAACGTTTTGCAATTTTTGAAAATGCAAAGGGTTGTCGCAAAATGAACTAGCTCCACATTTTTATCGCTCTTTAATACATACAGACATTTCTTTTAATTCGCCTCTTTATATTTTCTGTATATTTTATTACAGCGTCTCGGGTTCGAAAGAAAAGGCACAAAATTTCTTATAGATAGATAAAAAACACTTAAAAAGACACAGGTGAATTTTCTAAATTCGAAAAAGATCAATTTTTATCTGCGTCTTCCTAAAACTACAGTATTGATGATAGACACTTTTTTTCTGCTAGAGATTTGCAATCCAGTGTTTAAGTAGAGTAATCAAATACAGCAAATCTTGTTGTAACTTTTCATGCAAAGAATATCTTATTTATTTTGATCGCGTCTTTTACACATTTTTTAACTTCAGTTGCCTCTCATGTACAAATCCCTTTGAGTTGTCCTACCAAGATCGCCTTATTCAAATGGCCTCAATGCTAAGCAAAATGCGGCAATAATTGACCTGTACATTTGAAGTCCTTTTGGCTGGTGCGCCGTAATATCCTCTCGTCGAAAGTTCGCAGATTAGAATTTTGCTTAGTGCGTTAATATTTGAGCGTGTTTTGTGTGTTTTGGAGTATTTGTTTATATACGAAAAGCATGTACGAAATAACGTTAGTGTAAAAATGGCTATGGCATGAAGAATCTCTTTCACATAAAATTGATTGTAGGACACATATATAGAATTGATGATAGCCGGATTATTGGCGTTCGAAAAGATATCATCTACACGTGCCCATAGAAGGCCTACGATGTACAATCGTTCATGGGGTTTGAATTAATTTTCAGAAAGAACATCACCGATAAAAAGGAGTTTGATTCCGAGAACATATGTCCCGTCACCCTTTTTCGAATGCTATAAAAAGATGTGTGCAATGCACTCAAGTCACAATATCACATGACACGTTGATTGTCTTCGTGTTAGTAATTACTTAATCAATTAAACTTCGTGTGTGCTTATAACCCCTTAAGACCTGATTAAAAAATCTTCTTGATTTATCAAGATATCTTTAATAAAGACAAATTAATAACAATGATTGTTAATAACAAAGCTCAGGCCATCAGTCAGGACTGTTCTTTCGTTCGACTCCGTGCCTAATAACACCAATAGGATTTTCTGCTGCCTTTGGAGTCGCAAGTGACAGACATTTTTGTTTTTGACATACAGATAGACGGGATAGCGCGTACAGCACAGCGTGTACGGCACAGCGGGAACGGCACAGCATGTATGTGGACTATTATTTACGTAGCTATGTGAAAAAAGCATAGACCGTTCCTGGCTAGAGATTTCAGTTCTCCGGGTGGTTGACGGGCGTGGAGGTTATGGAGACTGTGTTAAGTAACCAAGTGGTTGTGCTTGGAGCCACCGTAGGCGATTATACACTGGGAGGTGTGAGGGGTGAAAGTAGGGAATCCATCCATTCGCTGCTCCGGTAACTCTTCTAGAGTGAGCTCGCGAAACAATATTTGCCAAACAACATAAACAGCGCGAAAGCACAAGTGTAATTGGGTGAGGAACGCTGACTGTTGCGAGCTCAGCTCGGGGCGCTAAGAGTAATGCGTCATCGACGCTGTCCCAGACATGGTATCGTAACACAATTACATTCGTTTTATCATAATGTTCCTTATAAAAACACTGGTATTACGAGGCGAAAAATCGTCTTCAATTCAGTAAATATAATTATGAAGATAATGTGAAAAATAAAACGAAGACAGTGAAGAAAAAGGACAAGAGGATGCAAGATCCTAGATACCGACAAGGCTAAGCCTGGTTCGCCATAGCGTTTCGGTTTAGCGAATTGGGGGTATATTGATTCCGGGCGCGTCAACTAATAGGATCATAAGTCCCGCCCGTGAAGAGCACGTTTTTGTTCGGGAGGTGTCGGAGGTCTTCCCCCGCTGGATGGCGAGATCCGGCGCCGACCAACCGTCAGCTAGCGGGGATTTCCCTAGCCAGGTATCTCCCACCAGCGGGGCATTGCCCAGCCGCGACAAGCTCTGAGCGTCTCAACACGTCTCCCGGCATGTGTGGTAGTGTTGTGCATTTTAGTGTAAGTGTGTGAACGTAGGAGGTTAGGATAGAACAAGGAAAATACAGAAAAGATCGCAAAATGTCCGTGGCCCGTTTGTTGGAGTACTGCTCTCGCATTCGCCTGACGTCGATCGGAGAAACTACGGAAAACTACCTCAGAGCAGCCGGCCGCTATAATTCTCCTCCAGACAGCAACTGAATTCGACCTAGCTGACAAGCTTGTAGCAAGCATGTAGAAAATCCTGCCACCGTAGGGACTCGAACCTAGGACCTCCCGGTCACGGGGCCTACAGTGGTATCAGTTGATGCACTGACTGGTAATATGGAGGGTATTGTTGTTATTATTATTATAATTATTTTTATAGTTTTTCTTTTATCGCATCCTTCATCATTAAACTCATTGCTATTTACTGGATTTGGATCCTACGAAACGACCAAGGAATTCTACAGGTAACAGTTGTCTAGCAGTACTAGATTTTACAGTTTATGTGCTCAATTCGCAAGAAGGAATAACCTAATATTATAATAATCTCTCAGTCCGTTGAGTATGAAAGAAACGGCAGCTTTTATGTCTTGTATTTAACCAGGCTTTTAGACTGTTTCAAACGTAAGCTAATTCAGTTCACAAGGGTCAGGAATGAATAAGATGTTAGTCTTCTGCTGCTCGCTAATATAATAGGGAACCTGATAATAGGGAATAGAACATCGAGAACCTGAATGGTAGTCACGAGACCGGAAGATAGAAATTCATGTTTACTGATCTTCGACCGCCTACTTAACTCCCGAATATGCTGAGTTATTGCAAAAACAAACTCATCCTGTCCATGAATGTAATCATGCTAATTGTCTTTTAAGGTATGCTGATAAACAAGTGATAGGAAACAGTATAAACATGGATGTCGTCATTGATTGTCTACAAAAACGAAATCTAAAATTTACATTTTCTAAAAATTAAACATTATCAGCAGGAAGTATATTTTATTGTTTCATTTTTTAAGCCTGAAGGGCGTGCTAAACATTCCTGCCCGAGAAATTTCCGCTCCGCGGTTCTGCACACACACACACACACACAACATCACTGTTCAGCTTTGCGGGAGGTAGCAAAAGAGAAAAGTGACATATTCTGCAAGCACTTGAACGATATGAGTGCCAATGATCCCGTCCAGCACCTGTCATTCAGAACCAGTTATTACTAATTCTGCGTCAAAGAACCGTTTACAATAGACATAAACCAGAGTACCACAATGATTTCGATTTTGGCAAACCCAACATATTCAGCAATGTGACGAAAGAAGCAGAAGGCTAAAATCAAAAGTTTAAATTGCTAGAAGTGCTAATATGATTTGTACTTTCAATTGATTTAATATAAAAATATTCTGATTTTTAAATATTCTTTCAAGTGTTAAAGTGTTATATTTTTAAACCCTGAGTTCTTCAACTTAAAAATTCTAGGATTGCTGTCATTTTCGCCAAATTGAAATTTTATGTTCTCCGCATGTCAATGACCCACATCCCGATCAGGTTTTTCATCCAGTTTCCCTAATCCTTAGAGAGAACGCTGAGATGGACCTATGATTCGCTTCTGGACATAAATATAACTTCACTGTCTGTGTACGTCTTCTAAAGTTCAGTGGGAAATATACTTCAAATTATCGTTCTCCGTGTTGGCGCGGCAGGAAGTCGATTCCTTGACGAAGGACACGATGGGGGATGAGAGTACAAATCTATAGCTAATTTGACGTTGCAAGAAGTTTCTATTCAACGGAGTTGATATTGTCTTACCAATTATTGCAGAGAACTCTCATATCTTTCTGAATTCAACTTGTATACGGCTTAGGATAGGGATTCCAGAAGTAAGAAAACGTGGGCATGGTACATTTCGCCCCGTAGCACGTCCCACACAGTTTGAGTTGTTTTGACATAAAACAAAATAAAAATAAAATAGATCAACCTCTCGCGTCAACCACCGCAGCCTCGCGCCGCCAAGGCCTCTGCTGGCGGGCGCTGAAAAGCATGCTAGAGAACCGATTGCCACTCACCTGCTCGGGCGTGTACTGCGCGTCGGCGGGCAGGCCGGCGGCGGCGGCAGCGTCGGCGGCGGCGGTGGCGTTGAAGTCGGGCGCATCCGGCCCGTCCGGGATGACGGCGTAGCGGAGCACCGCCTTGCTGGCCATCATGCACACCACGGCGAAGCTGCCTATGCACCGCGCCAGGATTAGCACACCCCCTCGTCGAGGATTTCGGGACTGGAATTCGGGGCTCGGGAGCATGTTAGTATTGATTCTGGGCGCATCAACTAATGAGGTCATGAATCCTACAAGTGCAGTACATATGATATCACGGGGGGCGCGGGTTTTCTTTCCAGTTGGAACGTGAGATCCAGCGCCGAACTACACGCCACCTTTTGAGTTATAACCTTCCAGTTATTTCCGCAAGCTAGGTACTGACATGTGTGGTAGTGTAATGCATGTATGTTAATATGTGTGTGTATGTGCAGGAGCAGATGAAAGGTCTAGGATAAGAAAGGAAAGATTGTATCGTAACACGTTGCTTCGTTATTGCTTCCGTATTTGTCTCGTATGGATCGAATAAACCACGGAATACTACTGCTCAGAACAGCCGGCTTCAAGAATTCTCCTTGAATGTTTGAATGGCAACGGCAGAAATCGATCCATCCATGCAGCTTGGGTCTAAAATCCGCCACCTTTGGGATCGAACACAAAAACCTCCTAATCAACGATTCTCCAGATTGCAAAGATGTTACCTCTGAGCTATCTCAGCCGATATGGGACACGCAAAGTGCCTGCTACGTAAATGGAAGATTTTCTCAAAAACGGCTCCACATTTTGTCTTTAACCTTTTGGAAGGGATAGTGCTAAATGAACTCTATAAGATGACACAAACGCCATATCGCTCTATTCTTTGTTTTTTTTTCAAACATTACAAAAATCTATTTTTGTTTTATTTCTCACGTCGTTAACATTTACACCAGCGGTAATTTGTTCCCATTCATGTATTTAGAAGTACATGTGCAATAAATAATGTCCGATAAAATTTCTCGAAAACCCATCAGTTTGCTGTGAAAATAAGATCAAAATTCCGTATTTCTAGGGACTGTCAAACACCATTTACTCAAAAATGGCTCCAATTTTTTTCTTTAAACTTTTCCAACCGATAGTACTAGTTGCAATGTTTAGATGACAAATAATTAATTTTGCTGAATTCTTTTTTTATTACACAAATTTAATTTTTGTGGAATATCTCTCACACTTTTAATATGCAAATTTTCAGCAATTTGAAATCACTATTACATTTATAAATTTAAGTGCTTAAAATTACTTCATATGAAGTTTTTTGAAAACTCAAAAATTTCCTGCGAAAAAGAGCATCAAATTTCGAATTTACAGTAGCGTAAATACCGTTCTTTTTAAACGGCTCCAAATTTTTCATAGAAAATTGCCATTTAGGACGAGGTTTTACTGTTTTGTGCGGCGGTAGATGGTAGCTGGCATGAGTATGTGGCAAGTCCGAATAGCTAGCAAAGACCAATTAGACCATTCTATACTACCTCTAGATAAAGAGTAGTGTAATGCATAGCAAGTGTAGTTAATACATAGTTAAAGTGTAGTTAATATTCAATCAATTGATTTTGAACTTGAATAGTAATTAATTAATTCACTGCAAATGGTGGAGCCTAACTCAGTCCGCCAGTGATAAGGATGGGATGGATAGGGCAATGCGGGGTCAGCGGGGGCGTCGCTTACCCATCGAGATGTGCCTTGAGGTGCCCATGACGACGTACAGCAGCACCGGGAAGAAGGCCATGTACAGCCCCACGATGGGCATCACGTTGGCCAACATCGCGTACGCCATCCCTGCGCAGCGGAATACATCATCCCTAGACACGGCGTACATTCACTGTCCTCTTCACTCACGATGAATTAGTCTCAGAAGTTTTCCAAAACATACACATTCATATGGTTGGGTAAAATAGATATAATATTCCACAATTTTGTGCGGATAAAATGCGTAAAGCTGAAATGTTAGCCTACAAACGAGGTTTAGGAATCTTTGTTTTTACGGTGTGGGGTATCCCGTCCCCGGAGGTATGGGGGATAGCAAAACAAAATCCAGAGTGCAAATTGGCGGCGGTAAGAGTGCATATTTAAGCCATGTTTTGTTAGAGGAGAGCTCAGCCCTCGGTGGTTAGCGTGCTCGATTTCGACGGCTCAACCCGGTGTTCGATTCCCGGTCGGTGCAAAAATTAATTGTGGGCGTTCCTTACAATGTCCCAGGATCTATTGCTGTGTGACGATGAGAAAGTTCATTTCTCATGTCGAAAATACCAGAAATACAGCGTAGGGATGCCTATGTGCTAACAACATGTAGCTCTTAACCCATGGCCGGCATTGCTGTTGATAGGTCATAGGTCGTAAAGAGCTGTTGTGCCAAAGTGCATACATACACACTTCTGGAGCTCTGAAGATAAAGGAAAATTCCTCGAAACATATGTTGGAATGAAATATCTGAATTTAGTGTAAAATACACATTTCATTGTCGATTATTATTTTTATTTTACCCACCCATATAGATATCCATAAACTTCTGCGGGGAACCTCGGAGTTTATTCATACATACACCAGATATACGACCGTCGCTAATGTATGTATACTTTGACTATCTCGAGAAGAAAAATGTGAACAACGATGCTGGAATAACAATGAAACATATTCATTTCACATTATTTTTTATCTTTTTGCATTATTTTATTTTTATCACATTATCACATTATCTTGAGCACTTTTTCTGTAGTGAAAGTAAAATATTATTTTCATATTATTATATTTACACCGATAAGTTTATATCCCTTATGCATTCATTAAAGATGCTGTACCTTCCTTAACAAGGTATTACCATATCCCTCATCATGCGGGAGGAGCCTCACCTGCCGGGCGTCATTCGTCATGCGTGCGTGTCGCCCTTTACTCTCCTTCCTGACGTTTCATATTCCGTGAACTACACGTCGTGTGTCGCTACACACTATGCACAATGTGTAGCACTTTACGCCCCACTTCCCACGGTCAATGTTCCAGATCGTGCGTAACGAGACATGCACTATACATACTCCACGTGCCATGCGCTTTCACCTACGTGTTTCTCATGATGAATCATTTATCACGTTCTATACGTAATGTGCAACGCACCATGAACTATGTATTTCGGCACCACACACCATGTTCTACAACGCTATACGTCCCAGGCATCAAGCGTAAGGTGTAACCATGCGCCATGTATCACCTACTATTCGCAAAATCCCATGCACCATCCGCAATGTGCCATGCACCATATGTCATGTGCAATGAATGTGGCGCGACACGCCCTGTGCGGCACGACACGTGTCATTCACCATGACTTGTCACCCACCGAACGCGCATTGTGTGTCCCGCATGGAAATGTCTCAATGAAATCGAATGACGCATCCATGATCCGTTTACGAACGACGCCTTTATATTGCGTGCATTCATTACTTACTCGCCTGGGAATTCGATGCTACCTCGCTCCTTAACTCAACAGAATTTCAGCAGAAATTAGAAGTGAGGAAATCAATCACAAACAAGACAAGAACAATAAAACCACTAAACTTTTTGTGATGTGATTGCTCAGGAGATTGAATAAACATTTTATGATCTAAAAAATGTCTGTCGTTAGACACTCTGTGGCCAAATTCAATTAACAATAAAAATAACAATATTTTGTAATGTAATGAAAGAGTCGTTTGAAATAGTAGCAAAATTACGAGTAATTTCGCACATCATTGTTGAAAAAACAAACATAGCAAACATAAATTAAATACTATAATAAAGATTATGAAAGTAGCTCTGAGGCTAAACCCGAAAGGGTGAGGCGACCAAAAGACGCGACCAAAAGTGCATTACTTCGAGCACATTAGTGACGTACGAATCACCAGGGCTTTGAAATGGCAAAGGAAAAGTTACGGGTATCTATTGTAAGTAGCTAGTTGACTGGACGTTGAAGTGCAAAATAGGAAAATAAAGAAAAAAGAGATAAAAAGAATAAAAGGGAAAGAAAATAATGAAAGAAGAAAAAGAAAAGAAAAAAGAAAAGAAAAAAAGAAAAGAAAAAAGAAAAGAATAAAAGAAAAGAAAAAAGAAAAGAAAAAAGAAAAGAAAAAAGGAAAAAAGAAAAGAAAAAAGGAAAGAAAAAAGAAAAGAAAAAAGAAAAGAAAAGAAAAAAACAGAACCAAGTAAAAGGAAAATGACAAAAAGTAGAAGGAGCTGGGGAAAAGGGCAAAAAGAAATAGATTCTCAAAAGCAAAAGCTTCTTCGATGGTTCTCGTAGCGCCAGAGGGGAATGGAATTGTCACCTTGCGGGATGTGCATGACGGCGACGGTGAAGCCCGAGATGATGTCGGGCACGAGGTCCCGGCGGCGGTAGCGCGGCATCCAGCTCAGCGCCGGGAACAGCCCGAGCAGCAGGCGCAGCAGGCGGCCGGGCAGCGCCGCGGGCGCGCAGCGGTGGCGCGCGCTCACCACGCGCGTGCGCAGCCCTGCGCACGGAACAGGCGCGTCGGCGCTAGGCCACTTGGAAGCGCGGCGCATTCCCTTGCACGGGGGAGTCAATCAAAACATTAACATCCACATCGCCTTAATATTGAAATATATATATTCATTCTCTCTCCCCCTCTCACCCTGACAACCCTCTCTTCCCGTTGTGTCCCCACTCTCTCTCTCTCTCTCTCTCTCTCTTCATCTCTCTGTCTCTCCTGCTGTCGCTACCCCTCCGTCTCCCCCTCTCTCTCACTGCTCCACTGGCTGCCCCATCCCTCCCCCCTCTCTCCGCTCTCTCACCCACCCCCTCTCTAACAGCTCTCCTCCTTTCACTCACTCCCTTTGCGTCTTTCGTTTTTTTCTTTCTTCCTCTCCGTTATTCACTCCTTCCTTCTTCATCTCTCGTCCCCATTGTCTTATTCAGGTAACGAACAACACACCCCGGTGTCTCGAAGGTTTCACAGAGTATAAGTACTCATGATCTGACACTTGTTGAAAATTTTCCTTCATCAATGAGGCGTCAATCACATATAGTGAAGGAACCGGAAATAGGATAAGGGCATAAGTACGTTTTACACATTTGTGTACGGTTGGAAATAATTTAGTGTTCCAGGTGCATTTATTTTTAATTAGAGGTACACTATGTCCAATTTTAATTACCACCAGGATGCAAGAGTGCCAATTGAAAAAAAATTAAATAATTTTATTCTTACACGAAATATATATCTCATTCATTTGTTGCACCTTACAGACCAAAATACGTTTAACTTCCGTTACATGCATACAAATGAATGAACAATATCTTTAAACCAAAGAGCCATTGTATTTGCAAATACGTTTTCATCCAAAATTAATTTTTTTTTCGAGACCCTCTTGGGACCCCTAAACTTTTGATTAGGCATCGCCCTTATAAAATTTGACTTAAAATACTCTTACTTGAATTCTCGAGCACATTTAGATATGAATTATGATATGAGTTCCAACATGTGGACTGTGCAATGTTTCTGTACGGTCTGGGGATAAATGTGAACATATGCGTGCATACGGATGGGAGGGGGGCAGAGAGGCCGGAAATTTCAAAAGGAGTCCTGTAGCCCTAAGAAATAAGAACATTTTATTTTCGAAGCATTGATCAATTTCTTATTTCTCCCTTTTCAAGCTGACAGGGGAATTGATGCACGACAATTGAGGAAGAGGCTCTCCAGACTATCTGGTACTGTCAACACTCTACATAGTTCGGCATAAAATCAATTGGATTTATCTATTGCATCGCTAAAATTATTATTTCATTCTTATTGTAGAGGTTTTTCTTTATTTCTTGGTAAAATATGCCTTACGCAAAAAAGGTTCATGGAAAAGGGGATCCAGAGAGGCGCAGAAATCCAGTGTCCCGCTCTCGTTTTAGACTGCGCACACCTGTGTGTGTGTGGATTTGTGGAATATGTGAGATGCTTGAAATGCGTGTATGCTGTTATATACCTGTGCATTTATTACGTTTTTTATACTCAATGTTTTGTCTTGTTGAAACGTCTTTAACGGTTTCCATGCTTCATTCTTCGACGATTTTCGGTTTCTGACATTTATTGTCATGATAGTGATGTTATCTTTTGCTATTGCAGTTTTCATATAATAAGGAAATTCATTCAGTGTTTTTGTGAAACTTATGAATATATCATATCCAGTGCTATTCTATTATTCTTGTTTACTTGATGGTCAAAGTATATATTCGTTATTAAGTTCAATAAGGTTAAGACGTTTGTGAATACGTTTCAGTGAATACCGACCTAAATTTTAACGTATCTTCTGAATGACTGATATGTTTTGTTCTAAATAACTATGCAATGCTATATATGGGTACTTCGTAAACTATTGTATTCATTTTTACAAACCACATTTCTGATATTTCCTGGCCATAATGCACAAAGACTCACTTTTAAAATAAATTCCACGTTACTTAAAGCAAATCCAATAAAGGAGAATAGAACATTTGATGCAAAAATCTTGAACACAATCATCTCCCTGTTAACTAATGAATCATGGTCAGGTACTTATGAAATACCTGACATCAACCTAAAGTTTAACACTTTCCTTAATACAATCAATCACTATCTCAACATCTCACATCCACTACAGAATCACATAACAAACAACCACAAAACATCAAAGCATGGATAACAAAAGGTATTAAAATCTCTAGTGAAGGAAAAAGAGAGCTTCATACACTAAGAAAACAACACTCTTGCTTATAGTAATTGACTATCAAGTAGTCAATTACTATAAGCGATATTCCGCCACATTTAAAAAAGTAATAATAAAGGCCAAACAATTGTCAAACGATGAATACATAAAAAATCCAAAAATAAAACAAAAGCTATGTGGAACGTCGTAAAAAAACTTACCAACAAATGACAAAACAACTTATATTGAAACACACACACACAAACAATATTGAAATTCTCCACGAACACAGAATCAAATCCTAATGAAACAGCCAATATAATCAACAAACATTTCTCTGAAATTGCTAGCAGACTTCTGCAAACAAATAATTCAAACACTACACCTACGTAACCAACACCTTTTTTTAAAAACTCGCTTTCTAATATGTACATCACAGAAACAAGAGAAAAGGAAATTCTTCAAATTATAAACAAAATGCAAAATAAACACTCTGCTGGGATAGACGACATTCCCGACTTCAAAATGAAAAAGATTGTTCCATACATCAAACCACAAACATATTTATATAGCCAATTACTAGCTCATGGCTTCTTCTCAAACATATTCAAAACTGCAGTAATTAAACCTATCCACAAAAAAGGAAACAAACAAGATGTTACAGAACATGTTACAGAAGATGAAACAAACAGAATGTTATGATGACACAGAACAGACAAGAATTATAGACCAATTTCACTCTTGTCAGGTTTTCAAAAATATTAGAGAAACTCTTTCATGAAAGGTTAAAAAGCTACCTGATACGCTGTAACATTCTCACTGACCCACAACATGTATTTAAGGAATATCGATCAACTGGAACTGCTATATTCACATTTGCAAATAAAATCCTCATGGCGTTGGAATAAAAAGAAGTACCTGTTGGTCTCTTCCTTCACCTGGCAAAAGTCTTTGACAAAATAGACCATGTTTTAACATGCTTCGACGCCTTCCATTTCGCCTTCTAAGCGGAATGTGTGCAAAAAAGGAAATTTCCTTTAACTTATATTTCCAGATATTGATCGCCCATTTCCTGATTAATTGGTACCGTTTTTGACGAGTATCAGAGTAACTTCCACATAAGTACCCAAGTCGTCTCTGTACCCTGAATAGTAACTGTCTCTGTTTCTAAACAAGACAGTGTGCACCAAGCATACGAAACAATCCTACGATCACTTTATCGCTATTAGTAATCAAAATGAAACGAGTTGCACGCTCGTGATCAAGATATTGCCCTCAGCGCTTTTCGACCAACCAGCCTCAGGTGAGACCCTTCTATCTTTCCGGCCCCCCTTCTCTCTTCCCTCACACCACGGCTCACCAGGTTTGCGTGGGCGACTATATTGGAACAGGGCGTCGAACTCGGTCTGGAGGCAAGGGTGCGGTACCAGACCGTCACCCCCGCCCTCGTCGCCGCCCCCGCCGTTGCCGCCGTCGCCCCCGACGCCCATGAGTCTGCTGCCGCCATTCGCCAGCGCCCCGCTGCAACAGTAGAAAAGGCACCGATTGCTCCTCAGAAGTGATAAATGATGACACAGAACTTACGAATGAGATGATGGCAGAATAATGGGTTATAACAGTTTTGTTCTGTTCTACTGGAAGTCCTCAACTCCAAATGCCTGAGAATTATGGTTCCTGCTGTTCAGCTGGGTATTAATATGCTGTGTACTTCGGTAGCAGTATGCTGTGATAACACACTAACCTTTCATATGCCCTTATCAGTGCAATGAACTGCAATCTACTTGTCGAAACAGTGTGAACAAGGTCTGAGCAGGACTTCCCTAATGAACTTTTGTTCCAACCTCATTTATTGCCAACATTTCACTCGTATGCGGAGGTTGATGTCATTATCGTTGTCTACTTAGAATTTAGAATCCGCAGACACTACAAAAAATTGCTTTTGTGAACAAATTCTTGACGTACATGCGCCACATATGACTACGTCAAACAGTCATCAATCAAAACTGATTTTTTGAATGAATAAAAACGCTGGTTAAGATATAAATCTCAGTTATCAATGACAAGACAAGAGGCAGTCCAACAGTTTGACGTAATGCGTGTTAAGAGGTGTTGTTAAGTGATCCTTTGGGTATTGCGAACATGCAGATTTTATTATCGTGTGTCTTATCTACAATGGAGCAAAAACGTTTTAATAAAGCAAACATGCTAATGCTTTTAAGGACTTCACAGCAGTGCAGGATTTTTTATGGACGCATAGAACACAAATGCTTCAAATAAAATACACATAAGTTTTCCCTCGAATTATAAAAAAATATTTTCATAAACAATCACGAAATGGTGTTATTTTGCCAGTACTTTGCTAAAAATTAAATTAAAAACTGTAAAACCAATTCAAAATATATTTAAAAAATGAAAATCTCTAGGTAAACTTCAAAAATTAAAATAATCCATTAAAATTCGTATGATAAAGATAAATAAGATCACTGAAGAATATCAGGTTTCAAAAATATATCCTGCATATTGTGTAGGCACTAATATTGTTTGCGCGATGATTGTGATGCAACACTGCATTATTTATTATGAATGTCAACCCGAAATTAGAATATAATTATATTACCATGGAACTATCCAGAGATGATTTTCTTTCAGGTAAAGATACAATCATTTAAATAAAAACCAATGTTATAACCTTCTATTTTCGGAGTCGGTTAAAAATATTACCATCTACCAGAATTACCAAACTTTGTAGCAAATTGAAAATAAAATGATCATGTAATTATCTAGACATATATTTCAATTAAAGATGTTGCATAAGTCATCATTAGAAAATTCGCATCATTAATAATCATTGTCTAAGAACATTAGTGAAAAAATTGAGTTAATTTGTCAAATGATACAATTTTGAGCAAACCATCGTGAGTAACAACTTGTTTAAAGGAAACAGATTGAGTAAAACACAATAGAAAACATAGGAAACGTTCTTTAAATTTCTTTTGGCTTAATTATGTAACTACTAGATTTCTATGTACAACACTTTTTATGAAAATGCGTACAAATTGTGCTAATTTACTTGCATAGGCATTTGTAAATTCAGTGGCAATAGGGAAACAATGGGAAAGTATATACTTTCGAATGCAATTTATACTTTCTCGCCAACTTTGTTCTACCTCAGAAAAGAGAAAGTATTGTAAAACTGCTGCGCAAAGTAATGATTTTTCGCTAGAAAATTCAAATTGTTCTGGGCTCTGGTATTGAAAAATGTATCTTTCTCTAACACGTGTTGTGGATCCTTAACACCGATAAATTGATTTACAGCAAAACGTCTGTCTGTCCGCACATGGACAACGCTAGCGCCTAAGCCGTTCAGAAGAGTTTCCCCAAAAATTGATATCGATCTAGCCGAATCGAGGCCCGAGCCTTAACATTTTCAAAATTTTCTCAAAAATGGCTTGAAATTCTTTCATTATTTTTTTCTCAGATTGATCAAAGAATGCATAAAAATATGGACCACGTTTCATTCCCATTCAACTCTCTGAAGTTCCAAAAATTGAAAAAGTTACAAATATCACAAGAAAAAGTGTGCTGTTGTGACACCACTAGTTATGTTTCCAAATTACCACAAGCAGAATCACTTCAGTGTAATAAAAATTGTTGAACGAAAATGGAAACAATCGTTTTGAGGATTGAAGCAGAAAGAAAAGTTCGAAAATAGTTTATGTAACAAGGGCGTGAAATAGGTGATTCACTCACGCGCGAGGACGACAAAAAGACGAATCTCCTCGCGCCTGTGTTGTGTATACAATTTTTTAACACGCCGTGAGCGGCACGCAATGCATGAAGTAAAGGAATATAAATTAAATATCAAATAACTAGAAATACCTTATTTGTACGAAAGTAAATGGATTTCAGTCAGTGTACCATATTTCCATAATGGAAAACGAGAACATTTCTAATTAAAATGACCACTTCATATAAATTGTTTTAATATAATTTCTTTTTCTAAAAGACAAAATACCTACTGCTAACTAAGTACTTCAATCATTGTCATAATTTCCACAGTCACACACACAATAGACCTACGTCATTACCATTACGGTCTTTTCCATTTTGATACCAGAAAATAAAATCTCCCTTGACAATTATAACTTTGCTTTGAATCTTGCAACAAACGCTCTGAACTTTTCTTTAAGTATATTGTTAAACAAGGCTTTTCTTTTTGGCATCATGCTTTAAATATAAATACCACAAGTATTGACTCCACAGGCCACTAGAACAGTATTAACACGGCAGAGCATCTGTGACCAGCACCAACTAATAACACGTTTCCAGCTAATAAGACATTTCCAAGACATAAGGATTTTGGCAAGTCAGGCGAGAGAGTTGAAGTTAAATGTCATTTAATAATACAAATGTTATGATGTCCGAGATACAAATAAGCTGAAAAAAGCGCGGTGTCCTTCACAATCATACGCCTAGGTTTCATTTAAAGGTAATACCGCTTTTCCAATAAAAAAAGAGGACATTTCGCCCGGTCTTGTAAAAGCCACCCGGACAGATCTTTTTTCATCAAAAAGAGGAGATGTCCGGGACAAAGAGGAAGTATGGTAACCCTATAAAGAAAGATGTAGCCACGACGAAAGACAATAGCGAATCGTTACAGATGTTTCACACACGCTTCGCGATGTTTCACACGATTTTAAAAGACTGGCAGTTTCGCACACAGAAAACAAGCAAGAGAAACCACGATTCGCGCACGGCGTATTAAAATATATGTTTGGAGCAGATACTGAATAATTATTTTTTGAAAGCATATAAAAACGATGTACCATACAGAAATTCACTTTGCCTAATTCCACGTACCTTAACATCGATACGCCGGTTTGCCTTAGCACTTTCTAATATTAAATTTTGAGCAATATATCTCTGAGATAATATTATAATTATATGAACAATTATTATAGAGACATTACTCTACATTAAACATTTTCATCTAAGACATAAACGTAGGTTTTGATTCGAACCCTCATGAAGGTGACACATCAAAAGTTGGTGTAAATTAATAATGTTCAAATATTTTTTGATAAAATAAAATGACATATCAAAACATATCAATATTGTCGAATGTAATATTTTAAAACGGATGAAGATAAAAACGATTTTGCTGGTGATGATGAAGATGATGACATAGACGTCGACGAAATGACACTATCACCACTAGTATTGCAATATCAGTTTTTATCTGAATAAATATCAAAGCACATCTTCTTCGTGACGTAGGTCAAATTTTTAATGATACACGATTGACGTAACTTCAGAATGAGACTCCTATCAGTTTCGGGGGCTCACAGAAAAGGCCTTGCTGTGCTAAAGCAACCGTCTTCTCATTACGGTGCCCATATCAATTTAGTGTCATTAATAATAATAATATGACATTGCTTCCATTTACAGAACGATAGCCTTCAGTGATTATTCTACATATGGAATAGTGCAAGTACGTTCTCCAGTATTAACTCGATGTCCACCATTCTGATCGCTATAAAAAGGGAGCAGGACACGTGTTCTCAGAACCTCCCTCGTGGAAAACAAATCGTTTTGTTTCAAGAATGGTTTAAGAAAAATTTGACAGTAATATCAATTTTTTGTTTGTTTGTTTGTTTGTTTGTTTATTTATTTGTTTATTTGTTTATTTATTTATTTATTTATTTATTTATTTATTTATTTATTTATTTATTTATTTATTTACTTACTTAATTTTCATCAAATAACAGTAACAACAGTACATCGCGTATGGGGAAGAAGTATAATCTGCAAACATTTTCTTGATCTCAAGAATATCTTCACCACCCTTTTACCATACATACGTGAATGATGAATAAAAGTTCCGAGAAATCTAGGAAACAGTATTTGCAAACTCTATATTTTTACTCTCGTGTTACAGAAAACTTATTTGCATGGCTGAAAGAACATGATTGAATGTAAAGTTATTGCTAACAAAATATTAACATAATAAACACCCCTGGCTCTACACCAACTATAATATAGCAAAAGGAGAACTCAACAAAATGTGAACATTTTTTTACGTCAGGGCGTCAAAGATTGAAACTGGTCACAAATGATCAACCATCAATTTACATATCTTCTTAAATCTAAGTTAAAATATTATTTACATGTTCGTTCAATAGTGAAGTATGTAGTAATGTTTGTAGTATGTATTGTATTAAGTATGTATTTACAATATCAAATTACATTTGCTGAGACAAACTAATTCAAAGGGCTTGGTCCTCTTTAACCTTCTCCGCTAATTATGGTTATTCAAAAGTTGAATGGTTTCTAAGTTAACATGTTCGTGCAGTCGTATTTCATGTTTGACAGCGAATCTTCTAAATTCACTTGACACATAGGGAATTCCAAAATCACGATGTAGATCCCTATTTCAACGGAGCATTTAGCATGTTTCACAGTACTTTGTTCTGAACAGTCTATATTCTTTTTATATTACTTTCTTTGGTGAAACCCCAAAGCCGAACACCACATAGCCAAATCGGTTTCGGGATTTGGTTGTAGATTAAAATTTTGTTATGTATGGACAGTTGATAAGCACGTCCCAAGAGCAAGAACAACTGTATATACTTAATA